CATAACTCGGTTGCAGACTCAATCCGGCCTGGTCAGGGCACCTGCAGAAGGCAACCTATGGATGTGTCTCTCACATAGATATTTCTCTCTCTCTGTCTCTCCCCTTCCCATTCTTTCCAAAATTCAATGAAAAAATATCCTCAGTTGAAGATTAATAGCAACAAAAATGTCAGAATGGAGAGGACCTTTAAAACTGTAACACAAATCCAGAATCTATACAAAGAAAAAGAAAACACAAACATTCCTGAGTAGTAAAAACCAACAAACAAAACCAGAAAAAACAAAATCAAGACTATTACATTATAGACAAAAAACTAAATAAAAGTGATTTTAAAAGGATAGAAAATAGGCAAGTGATATGAGGAGGTAGTTCCTGAAAAGGTAAATAAAAATAAACATATTTTAAATTTAATTCATATTAAGAGAAGTGTATACTAAAACTATCCAGAAATGTAATTCTTTTATGTATCATACAGACAAATTCCAAAAACATGAATGGATTTTGTTGACAAGCCTTTGAAGAAAAGGCAGTTTCATAAATTGCTAGTAGGTGTTTAAATAGGTTGAAATTTTATAGAGGACAATTTGGCAGTGCTTACCAAAATTACCATCTCTAAAAACCTTTGGCCACCAATTCCTCATCTAAGAATGCATACTACAGAAATTCTTGCACACATAAAAATGACCTGTATGTATAAGATGTTTTAGCAGTTTTAAGTAAGACAAAAAGCTCAAATATTTATCAGTAAAAAGCTGATATGAATTTAATGGAATACTCTACAGCTGTAAAAATTTAAAAAGTTCTTTATTTACTTTTTATTTTTTTCAATTATCTACACTAATAAAAGAGAAACATGCAAACTGGTGTCACTCTGCTACTCCCACCAGCCAATCAGAGCAACTATGCAAATTAACCCAACAAAGATGGCAGTTAATCTGCATACACAGGCGCAGAGTGAAGACTGAAGGCTCTGGCCAGAGTGAAGACTAAAGACTGAAGACTGAAGACTGAAGATTGAAGACTGAAGACAGACTGAAGACTAAAGACAGACTGAAGACTGAAGAGGCTTGGCTTCTCCGCTGCTGCCGGACCAAAGGCCTGGGTCCCAGGTGCCGGAGGAAAACCGGTGCCAGCAGCCAGGGGCAGGAAGGCCTATTGCGTGAATCTTCATGCAACAGGCTTCTAGTACTGATATAAGAAATACCAGGAAAGATGAAATGAAAATGAAAAGGTAGAGAAAAACGCTCATTGTATTTCATCATTATGGTAAAATATTTAATGAGGGGAATAAAGAATATATATCTTTGCTGGTTTGCTTTTTGCCTATAATTTTTCTTGATAAAGAATAAGACATTCATATCAGTGATGAACTACAGGATAACATGCACAGCTGGAAGCAGGGATGGGAAGATTTGTTACTATATCTAAAAAGTTAAATAAAAAATATTCTTAATGTTCATAATTAAATTTGTCTTTTGAAGCAGAAATCATAGTGTAAAATATGTTCAAATATTTTACACTAAACATTATTATCAGCTCTATTAAAGAATTCAGTGTCTCACTGAAACCCCCAAACAGCACATAGAATAAGTGGGTTGTGATTATGTGATTACTGTGCCATTCTATGGCTTGTTGTGATTTAGAGTTGTTTCAAGTCTTTTTTTAGGCTTATTATTATGAAATTCTTATTAAATGTCTGTTTTCCTTTCAAGAAAAAAAGTGAGTTACATATTGAATTCAAAGTGAAAGCTCTAATATTAACTATATTTGATTTATTACTTAGAACCAACGGTTATATAAGACAAATTCACTCCACCAATTCTTGGCTCTTTTTTCTAAATATTTTCTTCTATTTATTGCAAAATTTTTATTCTTTTTTTATTGATGTTTAATGGACATTTAAAAATGCAAACATTTACATTACACAGTTATATGTCCACATATGTGCATACCCAGGAAATTGTCATACCAGTCAATATGCCTCTCCTTCCAGCATCTGCATACACCTGTCCCCTACTGTATCCCCACTGAATAATTCCAGCATTTTTGATAGATTCCCTAAGGTTTTCTACAGTTCTGTTCTTTCCTTTATTGTCTCTTTTGTATTACTTCTCTTTTGTCTGATTGCACTGGCTAGAACCTGCAGGGAAGGTCGGGGATAAATGGTAAGAGCAGACATTTTGACTTGCCCCTAGTCTTAGCAGGAAAACATTCATTTTTTCACATTAAGTGTGATGCAAGCTGTAGGTTTTTGTTGATTACCTTTATCAGGTTCAGCAAGTTCTTTTATTTCTAGTTTGCTGATAGTTATCAAGAATCAATATTGAATTTTTGTACAATGTTTTTTCTTTGTCTATTGAGATGATCATGTGTTTTATTGTTCCTCTTGACCAATCATTAGCTCTTGGATACGTTTTATTTTAAAATAAAAGGGGTATGTGTACATGCATCTGTGTGTGTGTACATGTGTTTGTGTGTGTGTGTGTGTGTGTGTGTGTGTGTGTGTGTGTGTGTAGATGGGGGGGTTGTCTTTATTCTTTCTTATTTCATGACTGCTCTAACTTCTCATTCACCTTCTCAAAAATCCTAGAACATACCTGAGTCTTTCCATTATTACCTCATTTCCAATGTCCAAGTGACTTGTGAGACCACCCCATCCTTCTTGTGCTCTCTATCCCTAAGCCCTTGTCCCCATCTACATTTTCCCAGTAGTACTGCCGGTTTGCCCTGTAATAAAATTGCATAGAGCAGCCAAAATGACCTTTGCTAAATGTTAATCAGAGTTAGTATCTATGATTAGTAATTCAACTATGGCTCCCATTCCTTAAAGGTACAGTTCAACCTGTAAACTCCCACCCACTAGCACAGTCATCTGGAATGATATAAACCAGGCCTGTGGTCATGACACTGGGTCATATGGAATCCCTCTACCCTGTTCCCAAACTATCCCTCCAAGCTGAGGCACCTGCTTCTCCTGACTGTGTACCATGTTCCCTGTTTTTGCCTAACAAATCTCAGGCCTGTCACCGCCCTATAAGGAGGCCTTCACAGCCCCTGGCCACAAGTTACCTTGGCTCCCTGCACTGACTGCTGTGTACCAATGGTATACTCTATGTATCTTTACTTACTAAAAATCTCCACAGGAGACCTTCACAAAGGGCAGTTCGCCTTTTAACTCTGTATCTTCATCTCCTTTATACATCACTTGTCACTGTGAGTCGCATGAGTATATCTCATTACCTCTTTAATAGGAGGAAGAAGAAAGGGAGGAAGGAAGGAAGGAAGGAAGGAAGGAAGGAAGGAAGGAAGGAAGGAAGGAAGGAGGGAGGGAGGGAGGAAGGAAGGAAGGAAGGAAGGAAGGAAGGAAGGAAGGAAGGAAGGAAGGAAGAAAATGAGTGAGAAAAATAAGACAAATATCTATGAGTTTATTAACATGATTTGACAAATTGTGAGAACTCAAAATCTATGAAAAAAAAAGTAAATAAATCAATGAATTCCCTGGCTCTCATTTTCAATTACAGTAAGTTTGCTGTCTCCCCCCTACAGGAAGCGGTGACAGAGGCCTTTACGGATGTGGAGTGAATGCCTCCAGGATAATGCCGCTTCCTGTCCTGAATGCCACACTGAGCAAGCTGTTACAGCTGCTCTGGTGAAACACACTGAAGAGAGAGGAAGGAGGCATTCAGCTTTCAGTTACTAAGGGGACCAAATACATAAATTATTTAAAAAAAAACCCCGAAAGTATGTATATAAGTAATAATGAGTTGCATTTATGTGTTCATTTTGCTATGTCTGAACCATTCTGTAGATGAAAAATCTGATCTTTTTGACAATAGGGTATAGGCAGGGACTTCCTTAAAATTGAAGGAGGGTTGGGGAGGAGGGAGAACCAGGCTGACTTGATTAAAAATATACAGAAGGTAGCCTTGGCCCTGGGGAATGGGCTCCAGGGTGAGCACACACAGGATGCAGGGAGCGGCCCTGCGAGCCTGCCCCCTGAGGTCCTGGGACGGCTTTTCTTCTGCACCCAGTGTGACCTCGTTATTTTGTAATGTTCCAACTACTAACCACCCACGGGTTTTTTAGTGTCGCCCTATGTAATTGGAACCATATCTCTGGTCCCATTAAAAACCATTGTTTAAAAAAGAAAGAAAAAAGCACGCCTCTTCCCCTAAGTCTGGCACATTCTCCCAAGGGGTGTCTTTCAAGCTCAACTTGGGCTAAATCAACACATATGACCCATGGCATGGTAGAGTGGAAAGACCACTGGACCTGGATTGCATCCCTGGACAGACCTCTGGGGCATGTGTGCTTATGCTCACTGAGCCTTAGATTCCTTATTTGTGAAATGCAGATAATACTTTTGCCTTAGCAGATGAAAAATGGAGGTGGTAAAATTCCTACTTAACCCTTTGTAAGCCACAAGTGTCTACAGATGCAAATACATTCAAAATCCCGTGGTGTGTGGGGATGGTTTCCATTTTGGACACATGGCAGTTAACTGGTTAAGTGCCACTCATATAATAGGCACTTAAAGTGGCAGCTAAAATGCCTATTTCCTCCCCTTTTGCTTTGCCCACAGACTTACCTAACTCACTGTGAATTATCCAGTTCACTCTCTGCTGAAGCACAATTCAAGGTCCACTTTCTCCATTCAACACCCATTCAAACATGAAGAATGAATACTGTTTCTAAAGAGGATAACCACTATTTTCGATAGAGTTCCATTAGGATAGAGTTCCTTTATTATTTAATTGTTCAAGTCCTGAAAACATGTCATTTCATGTCTAGAAGGAGATAGGCATGTCAATTGACCTATAATTTGTTCCTGGCACTTGTGGGAAAGCTTGTAATTCCTTCCCAAGCCCAGCAGAGTTCCAGGCCTGTAGAGATAGAACTACCTTTGCCTTTAGAGCGAGCTGGCCTTGCTTGCAGAACAGTCTAGTCTCAGGCTGCCCTCAGGCACAGACGCCATCCTCTCTTCCTCTCCTCGTTACAGATGACAGCAAAACCAGGTTCAGCAGCAGCCAGCCATCAGCCACCCTGGGCAGCCTCCTGGATGACCAGCACTGGCACTCGGTCCTCATTGAGCGGGTGGGCAAGCACGTGAACTTCACCGTGGACAAGTACACGCAGCATTTCCGGACCAAGGGAGAGGCCGATGCCTTAGACATCGACTATGAGGTGAGTTGATACTCCCTACAGATCCCCAGGTGCCTTGCTTAGGATCAGTGTGAAAATCAGTAAAAAGAAGAGCAATAGAGGAAAAGCTCACCCTGGGGCTTATCTTCCCCTCCATCAAAGCCCAGGCAGCCTACAGTGGAGGACTCCTTGGAGAGATTCTGAGCAGTGAGCTGGGGAAAATTCCCAGGAAATAATGCTGGTAACCCACAGGCATCAGCTAATTGTGTGGAAATTTTAAATCAGCAAGACTCATTTGTATTTGATTTCTTTTTTTCCCTACTTCTAGCACCCTGTATCACTATTTAGTCTCCTGGTTAATTAAGTCATTCTTTAAAAAAAGAAAAATGAAATTCAATTAGCTGGGGTAATGGAAGATATAAGAATTATACTAACATAATGTTACATGTCAATTATACCTCAATAAAATAGGAATGATAAATAATACCCAAAGTAATCTAAAATATGCACTGTAGGCACTTGTCTTTAACTGTAATTTGTAAGCAAACTTTTGACTAACACACATCAACAGTTGTTTCTTCCTTATAGGAGAAGCACAATGACACACCAATGCTACAAAACAAAAAGGCTGTGCAAAATTCTGCAAAGTGAAAGTCAAAAGATAATCCTTTTTGCTAGTAGTTCAGTTCAAAAATATGTGCTTTGCCCCTACTGTATCCCAGGGTCTCTCTCGGTAATAAAATTAAAGATTACAGAGGCAGAGTTCCTGAGCTGGAGAAGCTTACAGCCTACTAAGCAGAAGCAGACCTGAAAGAAGTGGTGCACAGCAAAGAGGTGAAAGCTATGGTGGAGAGCAGCACTGGACACTGTGGGCAATTCTGGGAAGAGGTCACTTAGCTCAAACTAGAGAGGTAGAGACAGGGTTCCAGCAGGAGACAGGGCTAAACCTCAAATGAATATGGGTTTGGCCTGATGAGCAAGGTCAGAAAGGTGGACCAGGCCAGAGACCCACTGCAGAGCACAGGGCATAACTCTCATTATCCATTGTCAATGGGTTTTAAACAATAGACAGGCAGTTGTGTTGTAGCCAACTGCTACTGCCTCATGTAGACCAACTGGTAGACTTTAATGAATGTTGTAAGCTAAGTTACATAAACTTAGAATTAAATAGAGTATTTAAAAGTTCATACATTTATTAATTTTTAATTATTTACTACTAGAGGCCCAGTGCACAAAATTTGTGCACTCGCTGGTGGAGGGGGAGGGGTCCCTCAGCCCAGCCTGCACCTTCTCACAGTCTGGGAGCCCTTGGGAGATGTCCAACTGCCCTGGAGGCGGGAGAGGCTCCGGGAGCTCACTGACTACCAGGGGGTAGCTCCTGCATTGAGCATCTACCCCCTGGTGGTCAGTGGGTGTCATAGCGACTATTTGTTCCGCTGCTTGGTCAATTTGCATATTAGCCTTTTATTATATAGGATAGAGGCCTGGTGCATGGGTGGGGGGCAACTGGTTTGCCCTGAAGTGTGTCCTGGATCAGGGTGGGGGTCCCACTGGGATGCCTGGCCAGCCTGGGTGAGGAGCTGATGGCTGTTTGCAGGCTGCCCAAACCCCCTTCAGGGTGGGGATCCCCACTGGGGTGCCTGGCCAGCCTGGGTTAGGGAGCTGTTTTTAGGCTGCCCACACCCCCCTCAGGGTGGGGGTCCCCACTGGGGTGCCTGGCCAGCCTGGGTGAGGGGTTCATGGCTGTTGTCAGACTGACCAAGCCCCCTGGTGACTGAAGCTCCCAGCCTTTCCTTTTTCTCTTTATTTTTTTATTCTCTCCTGCTCCGTGGCCATGGTGACTGGAAGCAAGTATCTGGGGTTTATTTGCCTTCTATAATTGAAACTTTGTTGCTTTTGAGTGGAGCTCAGAGCCGGTGGCAGTCTGGCTTCCTCCATCACTGGAGCAAGCAAGCCATCTGCTCGCTCCAGTTCCGTGGCTGCCAGCCACCATCTTGGTTGGGTTAGTTTTCATATAGTCGCTCTGATTGGCTGGTGGGCATGGCTTAAGACATAGCGAAAGTACGGTCAATTTGCATGTTTGTCTATTATTAGTTAAGATATTACAGCTATCTATATAGCCACCACTCCATCCTAAATAATAAAAAGCTAATATGCAAATCAATGGAACAGCAGAACAAACAGTCGCTATGATGCGCACTGACCACCAGGGGGCAGATGCTCAACGCAGGAGCTTCCCCCTGGTGGTCAGTGCACTCCCACAGGGAAAGTGCTGCTCAGTCAGAAGCTGAGTGCATGGCTGTCAAGTGCAGCGGCAGTGTCCGGAGCCTCTCTCACCTCCGCAGCAGTGCTAAGGATGTCCGAATGCTGGGTTAGGTCCACTCCTTGCAAGGAGCAGGCCTAAGCTAAGAGTTGGACATCCCCCCAAGGGCTCCTGGACTGGGAGAGGGCACAGGCCAGGCTGAGGGAACCCCCCAGTGCCCAAATTTCGTGCACTGGGCCTCTAGTCTATTTATATGTGCTCAGGTTTCTTACTTCTGCAGTAACTGTGTGGTGGATATGCACTCTATTGGGCTGTTACAGTGTATCTCTTCCCAATTCCATGTCCAGTAACATTCCTTTGACAGCTTGAAATCCATCATGGTGGGAATATTTTCACCTGGGATATTGACAAATAGTATAAATCATGTAGACAAGCTACAGCCTGTATGCCAAGCCTGGCTTAAAGCCTGTTATCCCCAGACTGTGTGTTAAAAAAACAAGCAAACAAACAAAACAAACTTGTAAAGGGTTGTCAAGAAATTAAGAAATAAAAAGGAATGTAACAAAGACTGTATGTGATTACATATAAAAATAGTTCAGTGAAAATTCAATAAAAGCATTCTATAAGATCGAATTGGTTACATGGAATTTACAATAAAGATTATTATACATTTTTTTGGTAATTTATTTACACATTGCTTATACCAGTAAAATAAGCCTATGTTTGTTTATATGCATATGTACACACACACACACACACACACACACACATACATGTCTCTGTGTTGGCAGGGCACCATGAATAGCCATATTTTAAATCTTTATCAACACACCACTTAAGGCAAGGGATAGTGTGAGATAAAGCAAGAGTGAGTGAATACCCAGGTGATGATGGGTTATGTGAGCCATGTTAAGGAACTTAAATTATGAGGGATGAGTGAATGCTGAACCTGAATCCAAGTTTGGCTGCCTGCGCCTGCTGCAACAAGAGCCAAACTTGTGAACCAAGGTGCTGGTGAGAAGTAAAGTGGTTTATTCAAGTGCCAGTGACTTGAGAAGAGGGGATTCCTATCCCAAAGCCCATCTTAATAGGTCTTGCCAACCCAGCTAATTATACATGGTTAAAGGGAAGTGGAAGTTGAGTTGAGGGAAACAGCAGGGGATTTTTCTGCAGATGTGCAATTTGACTTGGTTGGTCCTGTTTCTGATACAAATTTTGCTCTCCTGTGTGTCATCTGGGTGAGTCTGCATATCTGGTGGTGACTGGAAACAGGAACGCCGTGTTACACTGTGTTACACCAAGACACTTAAGCAAAAATATGTGATTTCACAAGTATATAAATTTCTACTTCATTGTTAGTTAACCCTTGCCAGGATTTCAAGGTTAGCTCAGTAGTAGCATGAGGAGACACAAAAAGATTTTTTGCAGGATGATGACATCACCAGTTTTATGGTTTAGACTAGTAATTCTGAATGTATGTTTCAGGACTCAGCCCAATTAGTATGCCCTGGAAAGTTGTTAAAATTGAAAATACTCAGTTTCCACTTAAATTTACTAAATTAGAAACTCTGGGAGAGGAGCTCAATAATCTGTTTTTCAAAATCCTCCAGGTGACTCTGATGCAACCTAACATTTGAGAAACACTCTTTTAGAGCAGTTACTTTGAAGCAGGTATTCTGAAGCTTAGGCTTCTGGGTAGGAGGAAGGAGGGGGATGCTGGGCATATAGTTGAAAGCCTTGTTAAGAGACAACTTCAATAACCAGTGGGATACAGCATAGAAGAGCGGTGGTAGAGATGAATCATTGTAAAATTAATATCTGACTTATTTTTTTATTCAATAACTATTATGAGCTAAAAATTATTTCTTTTGATACTAATCTTAGTTTAGGATACCGTGGATAAGATATGACATTCATTAGCTTCCAAAGAGAATTTGTCAGTCAGTCTTTGACTAAGAATCCAAGATACTCAAGACATTATTTGAGTTGCTTATAACTAGGAGTAATGGATAACCATCTTTAATTTTCAACCTTGCTTAAGTGATTGAAAAGAGAAATTACACAATGTTGAAATTGTCTTAAACCATATAGACATATTTTATGAACTTGAGTATAATAAAAATCACAAAATCATGTTTAAGTCTCAATATTCCCCCAAATACCTTATCTCTAATGGAAAAAGATGATTGTAAAGTTCACCTAGTTGTCTGATTTCACATTTATTTCCAGATTAATGTCTATTTGTCTGTGGTCTCCTCTGTAGAGAATCTTTAAGGAATCACAGCTGAGTGGCATTAAAGTGAATGTCACCATTTAGGAAAAGAAATCAAATGAAGTCACTCAATTTGTGAAGTTGGAACAGATTTTTTTTTTAAAGAAAAAGTCTAAATTTCTAGGTACTTCATCAAAAAGGGTTTCCTAGTTTGAGTATATATATTTAACTATTCCAGTGAGGCAACCTCTGCTTCAGAAAATGCCTATCCTTTCCAGAGCATGAAAGAAGAAAGATTGACTGGAATGGTGAGGTTGGAATGTAAGAGTGTATATCAGGAGAACTCTGGAACAGCTAGAACTCACCAGGTTTTGAAGTTTCCCCTTAAAGGTCATGTGTAGAAGAAGAGCACTGGGGACAAAAATCCAAGCTCTAATCAATCACATTACCATTAACTAGTTGTAGAAGTCTGGAAAATTAGCATTCTTAACTTTTGTTATTCAGAAGTAATATTAGCACTTTTATTGGAAGGAATATTTAAATCTACAATTTATTTTATAACAGTAT